GGAATTATGACATTTTTTATGATCTGTGTTGGAAAATGTATTTATTGTAGGATTTTTGTTATTGCTTAAGTTTTGCCAAACTCTGTTTCTGATTTAGCAAAATCTATGATTTTTTAGCTATTAAGACATTTCAGTCTTATTAGCTAATTTGTATCACTTTCCTATTGCCACTCTAACAAGTAATCACAAATGTAGTAGCTTAAAGCAACACAAATTTATCGTCTTATACTTCTGGAGGTCAGAAGCTTAAAATGGAGACTCATTCTGGAGGCTCTAGAGGAAACCTCTTTTCTTGCCTTTTCTAGCTTCTAGAGGCTGCGTGCACCCCTTGGCTCGACTTTGGCTTGACTTTTCTTCATCTTCAAAGCCAGCAGTGTTGCATCTTCTCTCTCTGAATCTGCTTCCCAGTGCTTCTGTCATGACATCACCTTTTGGCTGTATCTCTGATTTTTGTCCTTCCTGCTTCCCTCTTTTAAGGACCCCTGTGATTACGTCACAGAGCCCACCCAGATAATCTCCCTGTCTCACGAGCTTTAACTCAGTCATGTCTGCAATGTCCCTGTTACCACGTAAGGTTGAATATTTGCAGATTCTGGGGATAATGGTGTGGACAGCCTTGGAGGGCCATTATTCAGCCTACCAATGTTCCTATTACTTTTTCTTAGGATCTCTAATTTGGGTTACATACTACATTTTTATTTTTATTTTTTTTTATTTATTTTTTTTTGCAGTACGCGGGCCTCTCAATGTTGTGGCCTCTTCCGTTGCGGAGCACAGGCTCCGGAAGCGCAGGCTCAGCGGCCGTGGCTCACGGGTCCAGCCGCTCCGTGGCATGTGGGATCTTCCCGGACCAGGGCATGAACCTGTGTCCCCTGCATCAGCAGGCAGACTCTCAACCACTGCGCCACCAGGGAAGCCCCATACTACATTTTAAAAAGAAATCTCTTCCTCTTTGAACAAATAATACAAAGTGCTTCAGAGGTTCCAGATTATTTTGCTGATAAACTGAGTAAATACACACAACTGTTACTTTCTCTTTCTTCTTTTCTTTTTCCCATTCCAGATCCTGGGTGTTTGGCTGACCTACAGATACAGGAACCAGAAAGATCCTCGTGCTAATCCTAGTGCATTCCTTTGATGAGAAAACAAGAAAAATCTTTCATATTCTGATCTTGTACATTTCCTCTAAGTTAAGCTAATTTGCCTGTTTAAGGAAACAGTATATGAAAAATTACATAATTGACAGTGAATGATATATTTTTATGTTTCTCTAAATGTTTTTCTTTTTCCATTGCTGAAAAAATCTGAAACTTGTGGTCTCCTCTGAACCTCAGTGGTACCTTGTAATCTACTGTTTTTCACAGTGTCTGGCACTGTCCACTGTGGCCTTTCTTAGCGTTTTTACCTGCAGAAAAACTTTGTATGGCACTATTGTGTTGATCATATTGTGAATCTAAATGTACATCTCACTGGAATAATTAATTGTATGTGGCACTGTGCTGTGTAGATAGTTCCCACTGGAAAAAGGAGTTGAAGTTTATTAAAGCCAGAAAGTATGAGATTCTATTCTGTTAAGTTCAATAAGGGAAATCTAAATTCCTCAATTTTTTTGTCCTTTTATTAGGAAAGATGTTGTGGTGAAAATTGTTAACATAAAAGTGATAATTTAGTTCTAGTAGTCTTTCTGATTATACTAATGTACTCTAGAAATAGCTAGGTCTTTAGGAAATTGTGGTTTAGTTTTTGATTTTTACAGGTAAGTGCAAAGGAGAAATGGTTTCATGAATGTTCTAATATGTAACATTTGCCTTCAGCCTTCAAAATGAAATGAGTTTGAGAAATTCAGAAAGTATATCTATATAATCTTGATATTCTTTTATAATAATTTGAAGTCCAAAAGACTGCCTTTTTAATCAAGTTACTATTAATGCGTTGGCCCACATAGCAGAAAGATATTTGACTATCTTACAAATTCTAAATACCTCTTCCGTGAAATTTCTCTGTATTGTCACAGCAACTCGTCAAATCCAAGCGTATTTGAATGTGATCTCCCATAATTTGGAATTTAAATAGTATTGTGGTTCTGTATATTATGTTAAAAAATTAAGTATGGAAACCTTTCTTCGTCTATGAATGTTTGAATTAAAAGAAAGTAATGGAAGGATTGATAGATGAATTAAGTGAAGTGGAATTCTTCTCTTTTTTGCTTCGGGTTCCCTTTGACTGACCTAGAGCTGAGTGTTGCTATTTCAGTGTATAATCCAGCCATGGAATTAACTTCCAGCACCAGTAGTCATCCCAAAATCTTTCCTTGAAATGTTTCAGTGTCTATTATTTTCTCCATAGCGATAATTGTTTTTTAAAAGAGAAGTCGCTCATTTTGGGGGGAAAACTATGTAAAAGTTCTTTCCTGTTACTAAAAATTACTAATTTCCTGTCTTATATTTTATGTAGTATATGGTATTTCATTAGTAATTGTTTTGATGGCTTTTAGACCAAGAAAGAGGATAAATAGTTAATCTATAGAATTTTAGAGCATTTTGAGGGTGAGTCACTTACATGCCTCTGGAAGACTGGCTCATCTTTCAAGAAAACTAAATTCCCTTGGTGCAATTCCCATGCTGTTGTAGGGGAAGAAAAATAATTTTTTCTCTGTTCTTCTGAGTTCTTGGCTGAGACCCCGTGTAGCAAATGACAGATAACAAGAGAAACAACAGAAATTTATTAACATGTATACCTCATGTATACATAGGAAATATCCAGAAAAACTGCTTAACTCCTCGAGATGGCTCAAGCCATCATCTTAAATACCACATCTTCAGCTAAAGGCAAAAGAAAGGTGTGTGTGTATGGGAGGGGGGCCGTCAGGAAGCCAGTTATGGGAGGTTACTAGGAGAGACACAGTAAATAAGGATAAGGTTTGTTAGCGGTTTTAAGCCAGTGCCATTGATAAAAGAGTTTCTTGTGATTTGGAATCATCCTTTTCTTCCTGGTACAGAGAAGGAGACACCTTCACAAATGGAGATTTAAGTGTAAATTTACCTTACAGAAGAGTAAATTTCTACTCTGTTTTCAGAGCTTCTCCTGTCTGTTCTTTCTCAAAAATAATCAACTCAAAATAATCTTAATGCCGAAGAGGCACATTGTGGGGTGGCGTATTCTGCCCTCCTTCAATTTCATATTGAGCTCTGGGCGACCGTATAAGTGTTGCCACTTGTAACATAAGATGAGATTGTAAGTGACTCATGAAAGAAGTGAGATTTTTGGACTCCGTCTTCCTTTAAGGCATTTTGTATTTTCCCGGTTTGCTTTGTTGCATTTTGAAGTTTCCATGAAGTTCTGGAATTTCCTACTAGAACACTTTTCTTGGTGTGAATGATTTTATGTGGCAAGGGCTGTTCCAGAGAGAACCAACCCATAGCCTTGGTTTGTACTCTAATTGCAATGGCCTTATTTAGGTCACCCTAGTTACAGACCAGGGACTGAGAAGCAAGAATCTTTAGGACTACTAAACTCTGAATACTGTCCCGAGTTCCGAATGGCTGCTGGTGAGCCTGCCGAGGTCAGGCTGATCCCAGGATGACAGGAGGGCCACTGCCTCTTGTGCACAAAATGTTGCCACAAACACATTTTGTGTCCTCAGAGGAGGGTACGTTTCAAATCAGGGTCTGTCCTGGAGCGGTAACAAATGTCTGTAAGGCCAACTCAAGACTCCAGAGCTTCTTTCTTCTAAACCTAGCATTTATTAAAAAGCAGACAAACAAAAAACCTATTTTAAAAAATTCTTTCATTCTCTGTGGACTTATTTCATTTAGAGAAATGTTTCTCAGAACATTTACCCAGTCAGCCTTGATGTTAAAGTTGAAATTTTAGAAAATATAAGGCCTAATACAAAGGGAAACAAAAAGTTAGGTTATAAATTCTGGAAATCCAAGCTCATATAGCTTAAATTCATCTCAGCTACTGTGTTATCTAAGCGACAGTGAGTTTGTGAAAACCAGTTATGCATGTTCAACCTAAGTAATATGCTGCTGAATGGAACCTTTCAGAAGAAAAAGAAACCAGAAGGGTGGCTTTTAGTTCTTAGTTTCTTCAGCCAAAAACCTCCTCCCACAGTTTTTCTAAATATTTGTTTAACCCTGTTTGAGTTTTTCATCCTTTTGAAAATGCACTGACTAAATATATGAAACTGTTTCACCCTTTAGCTGGTACTGAGAAAGTTAGAATCACGTTTTTACATAGTATTTTCTAGGGGAAAACCACTTTTGGGCATCATGATTATACAAATAGGATCATTCACATATCAGTTGTTTTATTGCAGATGACAATAAGGTTAAAGACCAAGTTGTCCAGGTTTCTGGATAAGTGAAGGGATTTGTGTAAAGTTGTTCTGCACTTGGTATGTTTGGGTCTAGCAGTTAACTTTTACACCTGGCTCTCTATGCCAGGTGCAATTACAAGGTGGGTTTTCAATGAATGTTTTCTAAACAATTTTAAAGGGGCAATGCCCTTCACCCCACACCTCCACCTGACTCCAGAGGGAGAGGGAGGGAGAAAGAGAAAGAGAAAAGAGACCACAGCTTTTCATGTTGAAGTTTATCTGGAATGTCATGATCACAATTGTAGTCGTTGAAATGACTCTTGAAACAATGGGAAAGGGGAAGAGCAGCCCCCCCTATACCATGTGCCAGGCTGCTTCTCCGGTCCTCTTCTCTGCTGAGGAAACTCAGCTTTTGGAATTCATTTTCAAAGAAGGGCTTGAGGGAGTTCCCTGTGAGTGAAAATATATGTCAAAGAACGGACTTTGACATCACTTGGAGGGTGAAACCGTTTCTGCTTACTTTTGGGATCTTGCTTTTGACAGGTTGATGATGTCACAACTTGACAGGTGGCCTCTTAATAAGTTAGGCTGACTTCATCTGGACTTTGAAGTCTGCCTCACTGGTGGGGTACTGGAAAGTTTCGTGCTTGCCTTCGAGCTCTTTCTCTTCTCCCTCCAGCTCCCATTCTCAACAGTGATTACTAAATACGAGGACCTCAGTACCTACTTAGGATTACTGGAGGCATCGAACAAGCAAAAAACCAAAGCAGAGATAGCTGGTTATAGGTGATCGTTTGAAGAAGACTGCGGTTCTAAAACAGGTAATAAAGGTTTAGTCAGGTATGTTGATCATCTACGTAAATGACTTTTACAGATGACTTTTGTTACTCATTTTTCAAAGTTAGTCCTCTCCCTCCTACCCTCAGATAAAACTGATAAAAAAAAATTAAGGTGGTAACATATACATAGAATAAAATGTATCATTTTAACTGTCTTAAGTGCATAGGGGGTTCAGTGTTATTAAGTACATTCACATTGTTGCACAACTGTCACCACCATCCGTTTCTAGAAGGTTTTCATCTTCCCAAACTGAAACTTTGTATCTGTTAAACAGTAACCCCCTCATTCCTCCCTCCCCTCAGCTGCTGGCAACTACCATTCCACTTTATCTGTATGAACTTGACTGCTCTAGATACCTCATCTTAGTGAAATCAGACAGTATTTGTCCTTTTGTGACTGGTTTATTTCACTTAGCATAATGTCCTCCATGTTCATCCATATGTCAGAATTTCCTTCTTTTAAAGGCTGTGGAATATTGCATTCTATGTAAAGCACATTTTGTTTACACATTCATCCATCAGTGGCTATTTGGTTTGCTTCTACCTCCCAGCTATTGTCAACAATGGTGCTGTGAATGTGAGTATACAGATATCTTTTTGGGTACCTACTCAGAAGTGGAATTATCAGATTGTATGGTAATTCTGTATTTGTTTTTTGAGGAACGGTTATATTTTTTTCATAGTGGCTGTACCATTTTACATCCCCCCTAGGTTACCAACATTTTAATTCAGCTGTTCAAAATAATACTCTAGTCTTAAGGCATTCTTCCATTTCTCTCTCAAGAGATGCTCTCACTTAAATTTATTTAAACACAAAGGAAAGATTGTGAGATGACAGTAAAGGGTTTGGTAGAAAGAGCAGGCATTGTTAACATTTCCATGAGCTTAAAACAACCATTTTTATGTTTGCAACTTCTCTTTCTAACCTTTGTTAAGTACACATGTCCTATAGTTGCAATTATAGCATAGAAATTCTTAAATTCTTTTTCACTTACCCTTTTTGTTTCTCTGTGATGTTTATAACTTATAGATGACAACATAGTGCACTTTGTGTTAATTATGTATTCATTAGATTTGGAGGTGGCCCCTTTCTTTGGGTATGTTTAAATAATGTTGCCATTGGCATCTTCACAGAACAGTTTCTCTTGAATGATTTTCTTAGGACAAATTCTCAGAAGTAGAGGAGACTGGGTCAAAGTTGATCAATTTTTTTTTTTTTTTAATGACTATTGCTCTGTCACTTTTCTAAGGGAGACTCATTTTCCTTGCAGCCTTGACATTTGACTTCTCAGAGATGTATTTATATTTTAAAAAGTATATGGGTGGCTAAAATAGCATGTCATTCAATAAATTTTAAGGATTTAATCTTATTTCACATCAGCCCAATTTAAAAAAGAAACTATTTTGCTGTACAATAAAGGAAACCTGAAGAGCTTAGAAGTTGTCATTCAAAATATTTGTTTATACACGTGGAAACTGTTTTTTTCCTCCAGTTAACCCTCAGAGAGCTTTCTAAATGGGATATTTTACCTTTTTAAGTACATGTAGCTTACCTACTTACAAGGAGGGCACCCAGTCCCTCTGGTGATATTTTTGCTGAGGATTTATATGTCATTAAATCAACAACATAGGTTTCTGTTGCAGAGCTCTTTGACAGTACTGTGTGAGGGAAAAGTATTTTAAAAAGTATTAACTGGGGAAAGTTAATAATGCCAAAGAATCTATTCAGAAAAGGCTGTATCCAAACAAACAAACAAAAAAAGTTAATTAAGACAAGCAATAGATAACCAATAGACAAAGCATTGCACAGACTGTCGCAGCCATTCAGGGGCCAAAGAACGCAGTGGGGTTGGGGTGATAAAGGAATTTTATCTAACAATGAATGTGAGAGTAAATATGTAGTGAAGTAATGAATACATGGTTCTAATTTTTATTAGCAGAATAAAGAGTTAAAAGTAGTTAAAGTGCTCCCCTATCTGATGGCACCTCCTCTTTCACCTCTTCCAAAGATAAGTAGTAACCTCTGATCTCTACCCCATGGACATGATGTCAGTGCCCTTTGCTCTTGACCCAGCAGGTCACATTTGGGTGAAGAAGATGGGAACATATCAACTGAATTTATTCCCGGCCAGTACTCTAAAACCTTAAGAAAACAAATATATTATGAGTTTAATTTTCACAATTTCATTAGGGTGTGTTTAAGGATACAGATGTTCTTTGAATGACGTTTTTTTTTTTTTTTTTTTTTTTGTGCGGTACTCGGGCCTCTCACTGCTGTGGCCTCTCCCGTTGCGGAGCACAGGCTTCGGACGCGCAGGCTCAGCGGCCATGGCTCACGGGCCCAGCCGCTCCGTGGCATGTGGGATCTTCCCAGACCGGGGCACAAACCCGTGTCCCCTGCATCAGCAGGCAGACTCTCAACCACTGCGTCACCTGGGAAGCCCTGAGTGAACTTTTTTTTACAAAATTAGTCTTCTGAAGGAGAAAGCTACCTGCCAGAGGCTTTCTCAGAGAGCAAAATCTAACTAAAACTGGATTGCTAAATTCAAGAGTGTCCATTGGGGTTTCTGGCCAGGGTGAGGAGGGGTGGTCTTCAATTAGGTATTGATTTTCCTGGGATGCCTTTGTAGATATTCTTTCACACTAGAGCGTATTGTTTGATACTTCTGTTGTTCAAGCTCATGCCTACTTTTAGTCACCCAGTGAGAAACTGTAGCGAGATGAGGTGATAACTTTGTTTTTGGGCTTTGTTGCTTGAACTAGGTTTGTCTTGTCCTCTTTTGGAACATTTTGTGTGTATGAAAATCCTATTTGGTGAATGAACCGAATAGCTTTTCTGTGAAAGACCAAATTGGGGGAAAAAAACAGTTTGAACACCCCTAAAAGGATTTATTTTTAAAAAAATCATGGCTCACTATCATAGTATAAGATATTGTTTTCATGCATGTATACTTAAGACAAAATTTAAAAAAAGAGCTGTTGTAACATGAAACCATCATCTAATCAGTAGGTTCACCAGTGCTTCTGCCTTCTCCACAGTCTTCTAAAATCTCCTCTGGTTCCAAGTCTCAAGGCCCAACACAAAGGGAGGAGCTTGCAGATTTTGTCTTTTCTCTACAATTCAGTCTTCAGGAACTTGAGAGCTTTCCTCATGTTGTCAAGCACTAATGTGGGAAAAAGTTATGAGAGTCAGCACATCATCAGGAATCACATTGATAGATATAGCATGAATGTTGGTAACCTTGTAAATTTTTTTCTAAAAGTATGTGAAATGGCTTTTATTATTATAATCTAGTTCTCTTCCAATGTTTTTTAACTGCCTTGTTTTACAAGGCACGGTGATATTACCTGTGCGGAATACCTGCCTTTAAGGAACCCAAAGTCTTATTAAGATCTATACTGTTATCTCAGGAATGGTCAATACATTTGGAATGTGCTTCCCTTGGCGCACCCAGAACCTACTGGAGACATTGATAATGGACCAGGACATTCTTTCCTGCTGCCCAGACACAACCTCATAATCCTTCCCAGCATAACGTTCTAGGTTGGTGCCACCCAACGGAAATTTCTGTGATGATGAAAAATAGTCAGTGCCTATTCACTGAGTACTTTAAATATGGTTACCGTGTCTGAGGATCTGAATTTTAAAACCTTAATTAAAACAGCTACATGTGACTAATGGCTGACATATTGGGCAGTGCAGGTCTACATAGTCACTAGTCATTGAGTGAATTGGTTCTTATGACAAGACTCAATTTTCTTCCCAGAAGGACTAATTAGATGTCACAACTAGATACAGTCTCCCATTGAGGTTCTTCATCTGCCTTGAGTCTCACACTTTTTTTGTTTTTAATGTTATGGCAACCCCAGGGGAAGTCAGTATCTTGGCAACTATTTGGAACCATCTTTCTTACTGATCTTTAAAATTGAACTTGAATTCAACTTTAATAAGCTGAACTAAATTATTTCACTTTTGTTACTTGGAGAAAAGCATTTAACAAAGCATGCAGATTGCTGCTATTGCTATTGTAATGGTACGATTACTATTGCGCTCAGGTCTGTGGTAGAAGGAGTTAAGTGAGCCTAAGAGAAACCTGAAAAGGAGGTAATATGATCCTAGGATTCTCCTAGAGGAAAAGATACCTAATCTAAATAACTCATCTTTAATTGAGTTTTTAAAAAAGTGAGATCAATGCTTGAATGTAATTTGCTGGAGGACACAAGGCCAGTTAGGGTCAGACTGGTTCTCTGGGGTCTCTGAGCACAGCTTTTTCTTCCCTCCCCATGTGAGCTCTCCTTCCAGTACAGCAGTGAAACAGATGTTCAAAGGAGGTAACACTTACATAGAGCCATATCCGAAGGTTCGTAAGCATAGAGACGATTTGAGTATCTTCCAGTGATGTCGGCTCTAACTGTCAGGGATGGGTCTACAAAGAAAAAGCCAAAGGGAATGGAGTACTATGTTTCAAAATAACCCCTATTGCATGATGAAGCCTACATGTTTATCCATATCCCATGAAAAGAACACAATGTGTCCTGCTGGATGAGATTCTACTCCATCCAGTCTGCAACCTGGCCTCTGCAGCTGGTACCCAAAGCCAAACTGGGAGCATTCAAGAGCCGTGCAGTGCTATTTGTGGAAAAGGTTAAGAACCCTGCTGCCCTATCTATAGTAACCTGAAAATAGGATAATATACATTCTTGGGATGGTGTTTTGTTTTTTGGTGAAAACATTGGCATTCTCTACTAAAGAATTATTTAAAATTTTTGAAATGATTATATTGTAATTGAAATATGTTACCAAGAGCAACCTGGATAATTAGGAACTCACATCAAATGCTAGTTTTCCAAACCAAAGTTTTTTTTTGTTTGTTTTTTAAATGAATAAAAGAATGCAAGCCCTTAAGACCAACCAAGGTGAAATAAGTGTGTAGTTTTTTTACTTTATTGTTAAGTAGCTGCATTTTAAAAATAGAGATTTAGGCATCTTCCCTTATACGTATATTCGTAAAGGTTTAAATCCTTTTTTTTTTTTCGTGTTTTATATTTACTTGAAGTTATCAGTTAATGAGGAAAGAAACAGGTATAAATAAGATGCATCCAGAAGGGAGGTAGTAGGATATGCAAAGGCCTAGCAACCTTGCCTTGAGATAAGTGATTGAAGGAGACTATGGGCCGTGTCCTGAGAATTAGATGAAGAGGAAAGATGAGGCCCAGCCACATGGATGCCAAGTCTGTCACCTGAACTTGATGGACAATCCCTGTCGTTTCAGCATGTTGGACTAGGACCAGCAGACTTAAATTACAGGACTTTCGTTTGTTCAAGAAAGACTTAAGACCTACTCTACTTCTGCTCGGTGTAGAGGATACAGACACAGGGTCTCATCTTTATAGTACAGTGACATCAGAAAAGCTTTTTCACCTCCCAAGCACTGGCTTACAGCCTCAGCTGCACAGTGGAGTCATCTGCAGAGCTTTCAAAGACTGCCACCTGCGTCCTAGCCACTGAGATGCTGATTTAATTGGTTTGAGGTGTAACCTGGGCAGCTTGATGTTTAAGATCTTCCAGGCAATTCACATGTGCAGGCCTCGTGGAGAACTACTGAGCCGGAAGGAGCAAGCTGCCTGGGACCTAGTTCTTATGACGAAAGGAATTGAACGGGGGTTAAAAAGCCCTTAGACAGGAGCACTCTGAAAAGAATTCCTGCACAGGGTGTGACTGGATGACCTATAAGGGCCCTTTCATTTAAGGGTCTAAATTTTCTAAATCGTAACAAAACCAAATCTGTAAGATTAGCTCTAGTTCAGCCTTCCTCCTTTTCTCCCTTCACTTTTTCTTGCCCCCGTTTTATAGGTTAGTGTGAACTTGGATGCCTTACAGAGCTGATCTGCTTGATCCGAGTGAGCTCTGCTATGTGATGGATTTAATTGTGGATTGCCCTTTTATCAGTATCACTTTGATCAAAGCCAAACTCAGTGCATTTGTTCAGTCATTTAACAAATACTTATTGTGAGCCTACCACAGGGTCATGCTGAAAATACGATGGTGAGCTGAAGAAGATCTAGTCCCTGCCACGTGGGGGGGGGGAACATTTATTCAACAATCACCCAATAAATACAAAATTAAAACTGAGGGAAGAGTGACCATTGAGAGGAACATGGTGCCACAAGAGCACATCGTGGGAGTTTGAGCAGGTCAGTGAATGACAGTGATTAACCAGGTGACCTGGGAGTACCAAGGGGGGAAGCAGAAAAGCTTTCCAGCAGAGGGAACGGCACGTGAAAAGTACCAGTGGCCGGAAGGAGCATGTCTCCTTTGATTTTTGTTTCTTTCAGCCCATATTCATAACTTGCCTAGAAATAATGATCAGAAAATGTCAGAAAGAAAAATCCAGCACAGGAATCAAAAGTTTGCCTGATTAAATATTTACAGACCTGATACAATTCAGGGAAATGATTAATACGTTTAAACAGTTAACAGGGTGCTTCTTTCTCAGGTGTACTTGTGGCAGAAGATGAGAAGTTAGAATTAGCAGATGAAGAAAAAATGTCATGTATGGAGATAGGTAGAAGCTTGCATTTCCTCATGAAAATAGGTTGTGAAGCTGAAAGTTAAACCTCCCCAGTAGAGCTTCGTCGTGGCCTTGGCCATGGTGGAGCAGCGCGTGACGGTGTGGAGGACAGAGGCAGAGATGTGGCGGCACTTGTGTAATGTTCAGAGTGTGTTTCATCTCATTGTCACTTTCACTTACCAATAAACATAATCCTGGGGACGTACTGGCCATCAGGAGAAAGGTGTTTGTCAGTTGTTTCATACTAAGATTTAAAAAAAAGCAGCTTTCAGTTTGTTTATATTCTTCAGTTATTTTCAAACTTGTTAAAACAGTGTGTCCATTACTGGGCTAGGCATATATATATATATTTTTTGTGCGGTACGCGGGCCTTTCACTGTTGTGGCCTCTCCCGTCGCGGAGCACAGGCTCCAGACGCGCAGGCTCAGCGGCCATGGCTCACGGGCCCAGCCGCTCCGCAGCATGTGGGATCTTCCCAGACCAGGGCACGAACCCGTGTCCCCTGCATCGGCAGGTGGACTCTCAACCACTGCGCCACCAGGCAAGCCCTGGGCTAGGCATCTTAAGACACTATAAGGCACACCTTTAACACAGAGAGTTTATAATATAGATGGGGAGGCAAGTTACATGCATGAAATAATAAGACAGAGCAGCCTGTGAGGTAGAACATGAGGTAAAAAGCTGATGCATGTGGTGAACAAAGAGCCAGAAAACTCAGTAAGGGAGAATTTGGAAGGAATACAGTGTTTGGGGAAGGAGCTTGGATGAGGTAGGAGGAGCTAGCATAATGAAAAAAAAAAAAAAAAGAAAGTCATTTTTAGAGAATCTGCAAAAACAGGATTATCTTGAGAATTCGTTTATCCATTTATCATTTTTTAATTTTCTTTGTTTAACAGGGAGATACAGGTAGGAAAAGGAATATTTAGGATCCAGGGGGTGAAATGTTATGATGAAGGATATACAGGTGCATTGGATGCCCAGAGCAGGACATTTAGCTTTATCTGCAGGTTCTGCTAGGACTTTCTGAAGTGGGTAAAGAGGAATCTTTAAAAAGTAAATAGGAGTCAGTTATATAGAAAAGGAGGGCACTCCAGGCAGTGGAGGGGGGAAGATTATACAAAGGTAGAGGAAAGGCCTAGCACTTTATATAGAGGAAAGGCCTAGCACTTTATATAACCAAGATTATACAAAGGTAGAGGAAAGGCCTAGCACTTTATATAACCAAGTGTTTGGATGGGACTAAAGGATAGGGATACCTGAGGCGGTAGTGAGAGAAGATGCTAGAAAGCTACTTCAGGGGCTGCCTTGTGACTGGCCTTGAACACCATGCCACAGTGTTTACATCTGCTCATAAATAAATAAGAACCACTGAGACTGTCATACAGAGTGAAGTAAGTCAGAAAGAGAAAAACAACTATCATATAGTAACGCATATATGTGGAATTTAGAAAAATGGTACAGATGAACCTATTTGCAAAGCAGAAATAGAGACACAGACATAGAGACCAGATGTATGGACACCAAGTGGGGAGAGGGGGGTGGGACGGATTGGGAGATTGGGGTTGACATAAAAATATACACTACTACGTATGAAGTAGATGGCTGGTGAGGGCCTACTATATAGCACAGGGGGAAGAAAAAAGAAGGTACAATCTGTTTGTAGGACACATATTAAGTTAACCTTAGAAATGCATTCCAGTATACATTAGGGGCAGACAAATACTGTTTGATTCCACTTATGTGAGGTACCTACAGTAGTCAAATTCATAGAGTCAGAAAGTACATTGGTAGATGCCAGGGGCCAAAGGGGGACGGTGGGGGGAGTGGGGAGGGGGAATGGGGAGTTAGTGTTTAAAGGGGACAGAGCTTCAGTTTAGGAAGGTGAAAAATTCGGGAGATGGATGATGGTGAGAGTTGTGCAACAATGTGAGTGTACTTAGTGCCACTGAACTGTACAGTTAGATATGGTTAAAATACTATGTTTTATAGTATGTGACTTTTATCACAATAAAAAGAAAAAATATTAAGAAAAAAAGAACCACTGGAGGGGTGTTAGAAGTGCCATGATTGCAATTTGGTTTTTAGAGTGATTACCCCGACAATCATGTGGGATTAGATGGGATTTATTTTGTAGGCAGGGAGCCACTTAGTAATACTGCAATAAGCTAGGCAAGGTGAAAAACTCTTAGGCTAAAACAGCGGTCCTCAATTGATAGGGAAGTGACCAATAGCAGGAATATTTCAAAGTTAGAACCACAGGGCTTCTTGACTGCCGGAGGTGAGTGGGAGGCTCAAATCTAGAATAACACTCTAATGGAATAAGGAATAGAGAAAAAAGAGCTTTTTGAAAAACCTGGGCCTCACTGATCAATTCGGTGTTGAACGTGTCGAGTTGAAGCTGATTACGAGATTTCTGGAACTAGGCTGTGTGCATAAGTTGGAAGCTGTTGCGTGTTTGGGGAAGATGTGGGAGTTATCGGTAAGCAGGCATTGATTAATGGCCGATGAAATTGTCCATAGAGAATATAAAATATAAAAAGAGAAGTAGATCAAGTAGAGACTCATGAAGTCACTCATATTAAGGGGTAGAAAGAGGAAGAGGTGCCTTGGAAGGGAGGTGAGGAAGAACCGCTGGTGTGGATGCTCCTTGAAAAAGCCAACTTGTCAACCTGGAAAGAGGATGACAGAGAGAAGCTTCAGGGACATACAGTTAGGGAGAGTAGTTTTCTGAGTAGTTTACTGATTGTTTGCTCTCGGAAGGAAAGTGGATACCGTTTGTATACCAAGCAGAAGAACTTGTAAAGGCAGAAAGCTTGACCATCAGGAGGGGTGGTGATGGTGAAGTAGGACGGGAAAGCATGAGGCCACAGCACGTGTGGAAGGATTAGATTTGGACACCTGGAGAGCCATCTCTTCTGGGGAGAGATGGCACACGGACTAAGAATGGGTGGAGAGCAGCCAGGACTGCAGGCGAAAGGGGCACAGCGAGGAATTTTTAATGACAAAAACGTTCCACTTATTACAGCAGCAGAGAAATTCTGGACCACAGGAGAGTATTTTTCAGACAACTTAAAATTATTAATTGCTAAATAAAAATGTAGACATGCAAGAAATAAAATCTTTCCTCATTGTAATCTATGAGATGAGATATTTGGAGCACATCCCCGTTAATGCAGTATGACTAAGATGTATAGGGAAAATGAACCATCCATTTCAAATTGTAAGCCACAGAGAAATGGCAGGATGAAGAGTAAACTTACAACTAGATTGAGGAGGACAAACTGCTCTGCCAATTTCTGAATTTCTTTATTTTCAGCAAATACCTTCTTTAAAGCTATAATATAAAGAAAAGATTGTTAAGCATTCATTTCATCACCAGTCAAAACCATTATTCTCCGTTGGATTTGAAGTTGAACTGTATTTGTAATACAATATTCAGCTCCGCCCTTTCTGCAAATGGTTAGTGAAGTAATATCTAGGCCATTGACTAGCTTTGCTTCGCTACTGACTCATCCAATCATTCATTCATTCATCCCTTAATTTTTTTACCTATATTTACTGAGTGGTTACTATGTGGCAGGACTGTTTCATGTACTGGGAATAGAGCAGTGGGGGAAAAAAAAACAATGTGCTTCCTTCATAGAGCTCAAATGCTTGTGTAGGAGACAGGTCATAAACAAGGAAATAATTTTAGGTGGAGATAACAGTACTTTGAAGAAAAATAAAGCAAAGCAAGAGGTTTAAAAGCTACAGAGTGGTTAGGGTAGACTTCTTTGAGGAGGTGACATAGAAATGAGAGGGCGCTGCATTCTGAGATGTTAGGGATATGTCACACATGGCAGAGGGGAGTGCAAGAGCAATAGCCGTGAGCTGGGAATGGGTTTGGATGCTTTGAGGGAAAGCACAATGGCCAGGCTAGATGCAGTGGAGGGAAAACACGGCGAGAGTGGTAAGAAAGGAAAGGCAGCCAGGGGCCAGGTCATGTCCAGCCATTCGGGCCATGATCAGCAATCTGGATTTAATTTTACCTGTGATGAGAAGCCACTTGAGCACATGAGTGTTAGGATATGATGGCTTCCGTGTGGAGAACTGACTGTCGGGTGACCAGGTAGGTGCCTGTTACAGATCAAGGCAAGATCTAAACTTGGTTTGGATGAGGGCAGTAGCAGTGAGGCAATCGGAGGTGGCTGGATTTGGGCAGGACCTACATAATATATGGGGCCCATTGCAAAATGAAAATATGGAGCCTCTTGTTCAAAAATTATTACGAATTTTAAGACAGCAACAACAGAGTTTTACAAGCATAGGAACCTACTAAGCACTGGGTCCTGTGTGACTGCACAGGTGGTGTGCCCATGAGGCTGGTGCTGGCTTTCAGACAGATGGTGAAGATAAAGCAATGGTATTTGCTGATGTATTGGATATGAGATGTAAGAGAAAATAAGAAGTCAAGGATGAATTCTAGAGCTTGTTTTTTCAAAATGTGAACCAATGGCTAATACAAACTGTGGAAATATTTGAAGTTACTTTAAAATATGTTTTTACTACATAAAATATTCTTTTAAATTCAGCTGTGCTAGGTGCTAAGGATGTAAAGATGAGTGATCTGGACCCTGGCCCTAGAGCTAAAAGCCTATAAAGAAAATTATATTTAGAAGTATAAATTACCTTGACTGTGTGGACATTCATCCAAGTGATGAATAATCATCAAGGGTTTATTGCTTTAAGAGACAAAGAGAGATTGGATCATCTTTAATGAGTAGGATTTCATGTGTAGCTAAAGATCACTAGATGGTGCTCTTGAGAGCTTTGAGGGAATTCTGTAAAACTTGTCTTTACCTTGTCTTGGATTTGTGTAAAGCTTCTTCATATGTCTGAGTCCAGATGAGTTGATCGCCCCAACCTAGAACAAAATGAACCAGTATATTTAAAGTGATTATATTCTCAGGTCCAAAGCTGTTGAAAAGCACTGGTAAAGCTGGGATCAGTATATACTTGATGCTAAAGAAGAGCAAAAACCTCTAGAGAAAGCAGAAACAATGATAAACTTGGATCAATCTAGAACCAACACATAAAAAATATGCTCAGCACACAACTCTCGGCTCTGAGTGTTAAATCTTTACCAATTGAGTATAACTGGAGGCCGACAAGAAGCTGACTCCTACCTCTGGAGAGGGTCTGGGGCAGTTTGGGTTGAGAGTCCTTTGTGTCCTTCTTAGCTCCTGGTTTGACTGTGGTTTCTTTGGCCAGAGTGTAGGAGAGGGCCACAAGTAGCAAGAATGCTGACACTGAAATCTTCTCCATGGCAAATCTGATATGGAAGACAAACAGATAAGCAAAAAGTCAATAAAACAAAAGAGAATTAGCAGTTTTCGAAATCTTCAGATTGTAGCACAACCATGGGATACAACAGGAATTGAGGCTTAGATGAGATTGAACACGTGCAATTGGAGTAAAAAACTACCTTCCACAGAATTTTCCTGAGAGTACATAGTATGAATATCTATCTACCATCTATCTATCTATCTATCTATATCATCTTCTACCTCTATATGCTATAGATAAAATATGAAGATCTCCATAGAAATCGACAATATAGAAATAGATATATTTCTATAGATATATATCTGTATCTATATAGAAATAGATATATTTTAAGAAAATAAGTAGATAGATGTATATATTCTTATAGCTAAGGGAATTTGCTTTTAAATTTATATTTAAAAAATTGTAGTACTGGAAAACACCTTAAGGGTTATATCCTCTTTTCCCACCTCCCCATTGTCTCATTTTGTAGATGAAGAATCTGAAATTCAGAGAAGTGAAGACTCATGAGATGGGCATAGAACCGAGGCTTTTGGATTGTGCCGTTTTGCAATGCTGGCTCCCATCTTCCCATCCTGAAAAAATTCCCCTAAACATACATACTTCTTTAACATTTTGTTAAAATGAGGACACTGCCAATGAAGAATAAGATCTGAGTAAAATGATTTATTTCATTTCGAAACTGCCAGCTTTATCTTTTAACTAAAAACTTGCACCCAGAAAACTCTCTCCCTAGTGTAACATTTACCCAAATTCTATCTATTGGTTTTGAATTGGTTAAAATACATCAGTGCAGGTTTCTTTCAGTGAACTAATTCTTTGACTCTCGGTGCAGGCCTGTTAGGGTAGGTGGTTGTAGGCATGTACTTTAGTGCACAAAAAATATTCTATGGGACTCATAACACAGAGAAACCAACCCCATGGATGTCTCTCTGTTATTTTTTTTCCTTCCCAGTATTCCAAATTTAATTCTCAGGGAATGTTACACTACTGTGAAGCAGATGCTTGTGAATGGCAAAGTGAATGACAAGGTAAGATCCGTGAATGAGTGAGGAAGTGAGCTAGCTAGCTAGCAAAGTGAACCGCACTAGCCAATCACTAGGGTTATCCAGGGACCATAACATGCGAAGCTGGATACTTGGGATGCCAATAAAGCCAAAGACTGAAATTTCCTAAAAAGAAACACCTAACTCTAATATTCGTGTGTGTTTCAGATTAAGTCAGCTGAACTCTGCAAGGGAAGCAGGATGGACCATCAATGCTTAGTATTTTTAGGGAGTAAAGTTTCTCATGTTCTGATAGAGCAAGTGGGAACCTTTGTTAAGCATTAGCCAATTCTAAAAAAAGACATTGCTAAGTCACCAAATCCAGATGATGCCTTGTATTAAACTGACCAGTTATTATCTGTGTCATAGTACGTAGCCACACAACATCTCACTCAAAAAAGACAAAAGCAAAAAACCATTTTCTATACCCATAAAGATATGGAAATGCCAATAACAATTTTCATTATCCAGCACTTTAAAGAAACAACTAAAGTGTGCTCCAAGTCTTCCAGCCTTTTTGGTACAAAGGCTTCTTTGTTTTTTTTTTTTGGTGGTACGCGGGCCTCTCACTGTTGTGGCCTCTCCCGTTGCGGAGCACGGGCTCCGGACGCACAGGCTCAGTGGCCATGGCTCACGGGCCCAGCTGCTCCGCGGCATGTGGGATCTTCCCGGACCGGGGCACGAACCCGTGTCCCCTGCATCGGCAGGCAGACTCTCAACCACTACGCCACCAGGGAAGCCCTGGAGCTATTGATATCTTATACGTGTTTTATGGCAGGATGACTCAAGGGAGCCGAATAAAACTCCTGCTGTACAAACATCCTGCTCTGAGCTGACTTTCTGAGATTCACTGTACTGAGTTTTCATTACTGAATAGACTGTGATCTGCAAACTGCCTGCATAAACCACCTCAAAATAGAAAGCTAACCACCGAGGACATTGATAATTTGGAGACACATACACACACACACACACACATCCTTCAAAACCAGAACTTTTCACTTTTCATTATATCTCTGTCTTCTTATCTTCAGCAAGGAATGCCTTGCAAGAGGTTTCAGTGTACCTGTTCATAAATGCCTCAGGAAAGCAACCAGATCTCTCCTTGTACAGCCTATCCCATGAATTTAAAGATTGAGGAAGCAACAAGGATATCTTTATATTAGACACAGAAAGAAAACTGTTTTCTGATTTGCAATAATATTCTGAACTGTAATTCCAAGCAGCCAATCTGAGCTGAGCTTTCACAGTCCTGCGGGTCTTTGCTTTGCCAGTGGGAAAGAAACAGAGCATTAGATGGTGATCAGGGCTCAGTAACTAAGACAAGGGACCCTGGGCCCTGTGCCGGGCTTGAAAACTCCTGGAGTTCGCTCACTCTTAAACCTTTCATTTCCTGACCGAGAAAGCATTACCTTCAACCAGCTCCGGAGCATAGCTCTGCCAAAGAGAGGTCCCAGTAAGCCTCTGGTGGAAATCCCATGATTCCTTCTCCAAATCCCATTTCACTGCCCATGGAACTACCCTGCACTCCTCTGCCTGTGGATTGCCTGCAACTTTACACAGGAACCAAAGGCCAAAGCTCATTCTAACAAGTGCCCTTCCAACACTGCTGTCAGGAGCCTTACCTGGATTTTCCCACCCACCTGTCTGTGTGAGCCAGATGGCCTCAATGCAGTCCAAGCTTCCTAGTATGCTGGCTCAGCCCAAGCCTGTATTTATGCACCTGAGCACACCTCAATCCCACCCACTAATCCCATATTCACATGTTGCAAAGTCGGAGAGGAACTGTTCTTTTCCCAAGTCTTCCCTGGGCTAAAGAGTTCCTTGTTTTTAAGAATAAGGTTGCAAACGAATGCCTTTCAGTATGCATGTTTTTAACTGTTTGTGAAAGTAGATTGTTAAGAGATTGAGAAAAGATGGGCAGAGTGCCAAATCCAGGTAAGCTTTAACTGAAGACATTTGATTTGCCTGAAGGCTGATTTGTCTTTTTGTGATTGGATGGAGTTTGTGGTTTGTAGAATTTTTTTTTCTCCCTCCTGGGGAGATTGCCTCTATTTAGTTGGAAACACACAAGAGGTGATACACAATTCTAACCCCTACAGTCATATAAGCTGCTATCCTCCATTATGGTATAAATTACTTTACACAATGTACTTCCTCTTTCTGGCAAACAAAATGTATAGTCACTATAGGTATGAAAACAATCCAAACCAAGCATTCACATCATATTTTAAAACTAAGGAACTTATTGAAAAAAGATATCCTAACACTATGAGTTTTTATTAATTACCTTGCAGCAACTTCCCTCCAAAGAATTCAAAGGCATTTCACAGCTATTCTTTTATTTAATGGCAGACTTTCCTGCTAGGCCTGCAGGAAAGTATTTACATCATTTTTCAGACCTAGAAAGTAAGGTCTGCAACTACTTTCTCATTCAGGGTTATACAATTATTCGCTCAACATTTTAAGACTGGACTTGGGTTTTCTGTAAAAAAATTTTAATCCTGTGTTTTGTTCTTAAAACTATGCACAATCCTTAAAAGTTCAGAATAGAGAACTCTTTAACAACAGAAAATTAACTAATGGGATGCAAGCCCTATAAAAATAACTTTTGAAATGAGTTAAGATAATATTTCAAAACATTTTAAAGTATTTAAATTTTTGGATAGAGCCTTAATTTCTGCAGGCAAAATATGAAGTGATTCCCAAAATGGTAAATTTTCATTAGAAATGAGTTTACAGAGATCATTTCTTTAGGAGTTTGAGTGAAAACAATGATTTGAGCTCAACTTTTAAAACTGATAAGCCTTTTATATAGACTCAGTCTATTTAGTCTTTAGAATAGTCAATTCAACCCCCTCATTTTGCAGATGAAAAAAATGATGTTAAAAAATAAATGACTGTGTGAAGATCTCACAACTTGTTAAGGGCATTGCTGAGACCAAAGCTGTGGTGTCCTCTAGTCTGTCACCTGCTAAGAATGGAAAGTGGGTAGCATGTGGGCTCCATAAGATTCTTGTCTCAGTCCTGCATCCTGTGTTCACTTGCTGGATGATCTCAGAGACATCACTTAACATCTCTGAAACTACAGTTTCCTTATCTACAAAACGGGGATAAGATTACCATACATGTCTGTTTTGAGTATGTTGAGATTTTAATGAAATAAGAAATGGGAAAGTACTTGGTACATTCATTTGCTAGGCTGGTATATAGCAAAATACTATAGACTGTCTGACTTAAACAACAGCAACTTATTTTCTCACAGTCCTAGAGACTGAAAGTCTGAGATCAAGGTATCAGCGAGTTTGATTTCATCTGAGGCCTCCCTCCTTGGCTTCTAGATGCCACCTTCTTCCTATGTCTTCCCACGGTCATCCCTCTGTACCTATCTGTGTTCTAATTTCCTCTTCTTGTTAGGACACTAGTCATCTGGGATTAGTGCCCATCTTAATGACATATTTTACTTAATTACATCTTTAAAGACTATCTCCAAATATACTCATATTTTGAGGTACGGGAGTTAGGATTTCAATGTCTGAATTTTTTTTATTGTGATAAAAACAGATCATGTGAGATCTACCCTCTTAACAAATTGTTAAGTGTGCAATACAGTATGGTGAACTATAAACATAATGCTGTATATCAGATCTCTAGAACTTGTTTCTTGATGTTTAATTAAATGAAATTAAAATGAATATCAATGGATTAAATTTACCTAAATTAGGTAAATTTAATCCATTGATTACATTTCAATATATTAAATTTAATATATTAAATAACTGCTTGTACAAAATTCTTTAATGAAATTCCCCTAAGTATTTTTACCTACATTTACAAATTTAATACCAGTACATCTAATTCTTTTAAACTTTTTTTTTTTTTTTTTTTTGCTGTACGCGGGCCTCTCACTGTTGTGGCCTCTCCCGTTGCGGAGCACAGGCTCCGGACGCGCAGGCTCAGCGGCCACAGCTCATGGGCCCAGCCGCTCCGCGGCACGTGGGATCCTCCTGGACCGGGGCAC